CATCAACCATATGCAATGAACGCAGAGCAACTGCCCTTGTGCAAAACAATCGTTGGATTCTCTTTACAGTGGCTACGTTCATTATTACACAGCGATTACTCTCCACTCAAATCAACGTTGTTTCCTCATGTTTGAGTCTATTTACTGATTCAATTTTATTTTTCAAATCTTACCGCACCTTATTTCGATGTTATAACTTATCATTTTTAAGACTGTTCTTGTCTTATCACATAACCTATATCAGCAGTTTTATCTTTGTCTCGAATGTACTTCACCAATATACTCCCGAGTAAAGCACCAATAAGATGTGCTCAACATTTCTAAAGCAAAAAATTTTGGTTTATAATTAACTTGTTTTTGATTAGTCATCCTCCAGTGGAAGGTCTAGTCACTTCTAGGAAAGCACAGCATCCATTCAATCCATAAATTTTCATAGCATGTTTCCTATGTGTTGTCATTGCTCTGTGTTATCGACATTTTCGGAGGTATTATGACTGCTGACTGACTCGACTGAATTGCACTTCATTCCTCAACACTCATGCGTTTAGTAACGTTTTCTGAAGTGATATTTGGTCACTTATTTGTTGTTATTCATCTATTTACGTGTTGTTTTGGAATTGAAGTTCAATCGTTTTCGTTGATTATTTGCAGTGAACATGCCAGTGATCACCCGAACAACCGTCACCACAACACGTTCAGCTGGTGGGTTTCGTTCGTCGACAATCCCCGTGTGGGTCATTAAACTGCTCACTGTTGTGAGTTTTTTCTAAATCATCTGTTAATAAGTTCTTTCCAACTATGGTATTCAGATCCGGTGCACACTACTCAAAATCCTCATCTCAAAAATTATTTCTCTTTTGTGTAGTGAAATATGGTGCCAAACAAGTCATTAATGAAAGTTCTGTGTTCAACTCGTTGAACAATTTTCTCAACAGTTTATTCGTTTCTGTTTCTTCCGCCGTAGCAGTGTAATTGATTGAGGCTCAATTCTATTAGTCTGCTCAGTAAGAGTGGCATTGTTATTATGTTTGCTGTCGTCGATCGTGCGATAATCGCACCGCATCCGCATTCCAGCGCGATGTGATTGATGAGCATTTTAACCAAACCAACTACTCACAATCAGATGAATGTAAATGTAATTCACCAATATGCTGCTGAGCTTTCATGCGATGTGCCCAACATGTTTGCAATTCATTAATATGACCATTTATTGCATAATCTCCTCCGCTTTCAATACTTTTAAATCATTGAGTCCAGATCATGGATCATGGAACATCGCAAATCATGCAGCATCGCAATTCATTGATAGCAATCCTACATCCTCTTTGTCTTGGTCTTATGCTTCGCTTTCGGAAACGATACAAATGCGATTGAAAATAGAACGACATGTTCCTTTCAGAACTGTCATGCAGGATGAAAACTGATAAGAAATTCAGTTCATTTTATTTTCCGAGGTCAGTTGACGTTAGCCATACGAAGTATTGATGTCACCATACAGTGCCTGAAAAAAAGCAGTGAGAAATGTTTGATAAGAAATGTTAAAGCACATTCATAAATGTGATTGCTCGCGTGAATCATCAACAGACAAGCCAACGAACGCTATTCACAGAAATAATTGTAAACGATTGTATTTATGTGCGTATTAATAAACGCAGATTGATGTGGATGAATAGCGAGAAGATCGTCGAGAGTGAATGAATGGTGCAACGAAAAATGTATCGCAGCTGAGATCGTTTGCTGCTCGGATAACACTCTGCAATCAATATATCATTCTCTCAGTAGCGAAAAAATCCCACTCATCATTCAAATTCAATAATTTATGGTTGAAGAAATCCCTCACAAACAATGTTATCATCTTCCATAAATGATTTCATTTGAGTTACTTTCAACTCATCACAGTCATTTGTATCTGTTATCAAAACGTTTACCTGGATTACCTGGATTGGCCAGGCTATCAAACGTTTGTAACGTTGCTGGCCACAATGCTCACGTTTCCGTTCGCACTGTTTTAGCCTTGATTGACGCCATCCCGCTGGCTAGGCGAGCAGGCCAAGTGAGTACAACCGAGTATTTAATTAGTTGCCGTGAATACTTTGCACAATTAAACGTAGCCAAATATCAATCCAATAAATATTCATGAGTCTACAAAATAAGCATTCCGCCGATCGCTAACCGCGATCAACAAAACAACCGCTCGATGTGTAAGTAACAAGTAATAAAAACGTTTAGTCATCCAAAAACTCATTTTTCCGACGGCAAATAAGAGTTCATAATTTCCCTCAAATGGTCGTCTCGAGCTGACGATTTCGTGCAATCTGCATCGACCAATACAGCACTGGTTTTGACGAGCCTCATGATTTTGATTGTGATGTTCTCACATTCATAATCTGACATTGTGGTTACTCGGACTCGACGTTTGACTGGAAAATTAATTACTTAAATGGCTTGAATGGAGTCAGCGATTTCAAGTGCTGGGAGGAAAGAGTTCAGTAAATTTCATAATATGAGCATCGTTTATCAACAGCTTGACTGTGCGGCAAGAAGGAGCATTTTCATATGGAAGAGTTGGATTTCGTCTAATTTCAAACACATACTCATAAACCGAGCACGTTATGAAAGTGTGATTTAAGAGATGAATGAATACAAGTTCGGAGAGGACAATAGTGAAAAATATGACTTCTCGCCTCGTTGTACAAATGTAATTGGGGTTACAAACATTCATCATAATCGTCATGGAAGGCCTAGATGAAAATTGTGAGCATGAGAAGCAAGTTTGAATTTAGTTTGTTGGTTCAACAATGATCATTTACACCATTGAAGATTGATTCATCACTTACAATGAGTATTTGTCAAATAAGCAAACCAAACACAGAATTATTGAAGGTAATAGCATTTGTGGTACTCTTTTTGGTGTATCTATTGGACAAACCGATTCGATCTGGTTATTCGACTACTTTTATCGTTATTGCATTAACATGTGGCGTTTTGTTGGGTTGGAGCATCGGCTCTGTTCTACAGCAAATCTTCGCTTTAAGGAATGTGGTGAGTCAACTCACAAATGTCCAATTCTGATTCATTTCGCATGATCAAATAGATAACAGCGAGTCGGAGGAAGTTCACATCCGTTTGGAATGAATTACTTTTATGGTTATCACTTATAAGGATAGCAATAATAACATCAGATGACCAATGCAATTTCAGTAGTAGTACGGATGATGCTTTCACTTCAACAAGAAAACCAATAGAGCAGGAGCGCCATTGGCGGAGGGGGGAATTACCCATTTTCAGACAATTTAGGAGTTTCAAAGAAATAATGAAGGGGATCGGGAAACTAGTTCTTACGTTATGCGTGGAAATAGTAACTTATTGCAGTGGGAGGGGGAGAGGGGGGTAATGACGGCCTGCCAGACAATCGATGAGATAATTGAGCACTCAAATGTGGGAAGCTTAAGTTTAACAGTTCTTTGATGATCATACGAATACAATACCAAAATGAACTGTTCACTTGATATGTTTGAGGAGATTCGGTTGAATTGCATCACAGTACAACAAAAAGTCCATATTCTCTGCCATATTTAAGTATCAATTGAAGCAAAAAATAATTTTTCACTTCATATTTGAGGAGATTGTGGTGAATTTTATCCTAACAGCACTTGCTGTTGTGTCGTTGATTGTATCAGTCGCCTTCTTGTTGGAACGAAGCGACTGGAGTCGTTACGAAAGCTATCGTCTTGTGATGGGCATTGCGGTGAGTTTCTACCTTACAGTTAGTATGGAACTTAAGAAATTTGCTCACAACCAGTTGATCGGCTAATTAGTGAACTTGCAGCATTTGATACAGTTTAATATTTCGAATAAACTTCTGATGGAAGTGTCACAGCGATTAAAATCAAAGAATCTGAATGCGATTCCGTGCACATATTGATGCCTTAAGTTTCACCAGTCACGTATTTACGAGTATCAAAAATAATTTGGCAAAATTCACAAAATCACAATTCGTAATTGCAAATTGCATCTCTAAACGATTTACCGAATGCCTTGACTTAAATCGTAGAAAGGAATTGGAATGCGATTGCTGAGCAATGTATCCATCCTTTAAGACCTTTTGAAATTCACTACGAAATCGGTGATTATCTTCAACGATAACCACAACTAGTCGCGTTGATTATAAGTGAGAATTTCTTTTCAGATCTGTTTTCTTCTCCAGTCGATCATATGCATTCTTATGCTGTCGTGGGCATTCTACGGAAACTTGGTCATTTTTGAAACACGCTAAACGTTGAAGTTTGCATAGTTTACTGGTAGATTTTCCGCTACTCATCGCTATTGAATCCTCAAGACTCTCAGAGCTCTTGTAGGATTTTTTGAAGAAAGTCAGATGTTCTGCTTAATGTCGTATAAGTTCGCTAACGACGATTGATGTATTCTTTTATATGATATATGCTTGTGTTATAACTTTTTGTTTTGTTTTCCGAATGTTTGCCCCCTATTTATCTTTGAAAATAAGAATCTCGAAAACGCGATGTGTCCTCCTTCCAGTTTCTTCCAATTATTTGCGTTTTTTCCTCATTAAAATTTCTTAATTCTCAAACAGACAGACGCATCACACCTATCGTTAGTTATCATTCACTTCAAAAGCGATTTCCTCAGTGAATATTATTCGTGTAAACCTGTTTCAATTTTAATTTTTGATTTTTTTTAAAGTTTTTATGCTGATGGCCTTCTGTATTGAGCATATCTTTTTTGGATGATTACTTTAT